TATGAATCTTCCGATTGAATAGAATTTTATTATAAATAATTGTCTTGTAAATAGAATTTTTAAAGCATTCTGAATGTTAAAAATAAAGAAAAAAGTGTGCAAGAGAATAAGAAACACTACCTGCCAAAAAAAAAAAAAAAAAAGTGAAGCTTTGTTTTATCGGCTGAAAAATATAGGAAATCCGCTCCCATATTTAAAGGAACCCACACACAAACAACCCGATGTGAGTTGTCCCCCTTCCATTTTCACGATGTATCTTAGTCGTGTTTTCAAATTGATTTTGTGCAAAAACAATTATATTTTTCCCATTTTTGGAGCTGTTAGAACCACCACAAAGGTAATTTTATGTAGTCCTGTGAAGTTTTGTTGAAATCGGTTGAAAAATGTAGGAAATCCGATCCAATATAAATACACACACACACACACACACACACACACACACACACACACACACACACACACACAATCTGCGTTTTATAATAAGTAAGATGTTTGATTTTAGTTCGGAATGTTTAACCTTTTCAAGTCCTCCAGAACTTGTTTTCAACATGTCCTGTGGGGCATAATTGTCCCCAAAACGCATTGATATGAGATAAAGCGTTCATAGTGTGCCATTGCTATATTTATAATAATACATTCAATAATATATTTCCAAGTCATTTAGATATGTCCACTGAAACGAATAATAATATTTTTTACTGTATACATCAGTTACGCGAATGTGCACTTAAAAGGGTTAACTAACCCGCAAAGGCCGTAAAAATGTATCAATCAATCAATTGTACTTTATCATTCAATCAATTGTACTTTATCAATCAATCAATTGTACTTTATCAATCAATCAATTGTACTTTATCAATCAATCAATTGTACCATACTTGAACGGTAAAATTAAATTAAGTTTTCGTTCATATTTTATCTGTTTAGTATCGTGTTCACACTTGATGAAACGCGTCGGCTAATAATAATTTTCCTGTTGTCTTTTGTCATATTGTCTTTTTCTACATGTTAACTCAGAGAAATGTTTCAAATATATATATATATATATATATATATATATATATATATTTGAACAATAAAAAAATATTAAAAAATTAAAATCTTTAGACACACTGGGTTGTAGATTAATATTCTTTTTTTTTTTTATTATTATTTCATTTAGATTCCTCGACTAGTTTCGACCAAAATGGCCATCATCAGGAGGAGAAATATTTCTGCTTACTGGTAGCAGTAAACTACAGAAATGAATCTTTTGCTGGAGAAAATGAACTTTTGTCTGTAGTTTTCATTTGTTTTTTTTATTTTTTTTATCTTTTTAACATGAATCTTTTAACAATCATTGTGTTGGTCAAACAGTCTCTTTTAAGTTGTTATTTGAAATATATATGTCAGGAACAATATTAGGAAAAAATGTATGATAAAAAGGAAAAAGGCTTTTGTCATTTAGGACTTCATTGGACTAAATTTGTTTATCTTGGTACGGCTAAACATGTGCATGAACAAGGGATGCTCAGAATTTTATATTATGTTTTTTTTAATCTTGCCAATTTCATATAGATTAGTTCTCTTTTTCTTTCCATCACTTTTGTTATTAGATATTAGAAGATCCGTCAGAAATGGTGAAATTTACTGTGAATGACTTTGCAATCAAGGCACTCTCTAATCATGAATTGTTTCCTCCTTTGATCAAACTAGCATTTTTATGTCAGAATTCTGATCTGTCTCATTGCAACCAATGCATTCAATGTATTATTTTGTAGAAATGTCACTTTTGTGTTCATGTAATCTTTTATTTAGATTGCGTGAGGTTTCTCCTGTATATTTTTTGTAAAAAAAAAGTTTAAAATTCCCAGCATCCCTCGTTCGTGTGCATGTGCAGTTGCATCAACAGCACAAATTTAGTCCGATGAAACGCGTCACAAGAGAACTTTTCCCACTTTGTTATGCATACGTATATATAAAACATGTTTATGATAGTGAAAGATTTTGATTACGCAAACCTATTTTGTTTCCATTCGTCTAATTTTTGTGATTTTACATTTCAAATTCTAACAACCTTTTAAGGGTGTCAGAATTTTAAAAGAATGCCATGTCCCTTCAGGTCAGGACGTAGATAATCATGGATCTACATATATTTGTTGCTTCTTTATTATCTATGAATTGCCCTGCCCTTTTGGGGAAGATAGGAGAGTAGTTTCCTGCTGCCTTCTCCATAGTTTGGAATTCAGTTTTTCCTTTTCTTATAGTAACTGCTGCCCAAGACTAGAGATCCCACTTCTATCCAGTTATTTAACCCATAGGAGAAGAGGCGAAGAGATGGCTTGATGCCATTCCCAAGAGTATAATGCAAAAGGGAACGCATTTGTCTAGAACGGAACCCTTCAGAATAATTTAATCAAATGCTACATCTCTCTTATCCGCTTTAACTGTTAGTAAACATAACCTTCTCTTTATGTTATGTCTTTTCAGGAAGTGAGCGATTATGGTTCTTGTTGTAGCCTAGGGAAGGTTACTGAATAGAATAATCACACGAAGGTCGGTAATGAACGATAATACTTAGGACACGAACAACACATATAAGATTCGCCAGCGGCGCGTAGAAAAAGAAATCATCTGCTAGAAGTGAGTCAAGTGAATTCCACAGTGAATCTCCAACTGCAGGATATCTACCAACAGCTCCACGCGGTCAGATGTAGCACATGGCTGGATTTAATGTGGGGTATCCGAGCACGTAGGCTCGGCCAGAAATTTCCCCGTAGACCCCGTACAAAACGGGATCTGGTAGCTGTTTCCCGAGACATTCGTCTGGATTTCGTCTCTGCCCGGAGCCAGAGAGTTTGACCAGCACAGCTGGAAACGAATTTCCGACTGCAAACCAACATACAGTATTTACTACTGTATTCATGTGAATGGGGACATACCCATTATCATCCGTAGGTATGCTACACAGTTTCCTGCCTCTTGTCATTCTCAATTATGATCCTTCTTTGTGGTAATTGTTAGGCCGGTTATTTATTGCTTTACACTGCTTCCCTTAACCTCGATACGCCCTGTGAGTGTTAAATTCTCCAAGGCTTCCTTTATATGCCCCGTAAATTTATACACCTCCTAAATTTATATGCCCCCTAAATTTTAACAGTTTCTTTCGAATTTCAGAAACAGTTTCTTTGTATGTCTGAACTTCTGGGATGAAGAGTTACCATTATTTACACTATATTCAAACTATTGTCCTCATCTTATATTGTTGTTTCTTCAGGGAGGAAAGCCGGGGTGGGGCAACGACCGAAACGTTGTAATAATAACAATAAAGATGAGGATAATCGTTCAAATAAAGTGTAAACAATTTCTTTGTAGTTCACGTTAGCTATTCTTTCTACTCAAGATATTGTTAACATTCGTTGATAAACAGCATCTTGATCGTTTTAAGGCTTTTATTTCTTAATTTTTAAAGAAACGGTCGACAATTCAGTGTCACATAGAAAATTGGTCTTACATAGCAGTTTAGAAATCTTTTCTTCGTTTCTGTGGATGTGCCGGGGGTAGGGTGTAATGGGTAACGGTTCGGAATGTGAAATAGGAGAGCTGTTCGAATTTTAATCAAGTTCATTACATTGACTTACACATAAATACCATTAGGAAAAGTATGAACCTATCTCTTCCCCCCAACTATGGGTTAAATAGCAGCACGTATATTTGGACAAATCATTATTATCTCCCTTAAAACTTTTAATGCAATATTCATTCGCAAAAAAAATGAAACCGGAATCGATTTATTCTTACAAACCAAACAATTTTCAGCTTTAAATAGTCTGCAAAGCCATTAAAAACCGAATCAACATACTTCGTTTCTTGCATTATTTACATTATTCAGACTGTTATCCTCATGTTTATTGCCATATTCACAACTTCAGGTGATTGGAATTTCGACCCGAACTCGTTATTTCGTCCATCCGGGTGGCTTGTTCTAGTTCCACATGCCATGCATCTTTCGGATGTCACAGTTATTTCCCTTTAACTCAACTGAAGTAGGCCGGAGCGTACAACGGCCGAAACGTTGTGAATATGGCAATGAAGATGAGGATAACAGTCCGAATAATGTAAATAATGCAAGTAATCATAATACCTCATCTCAGAGATCTAGACACACACTTCGTTTCTTTGGCTATTTTTCGACACTTTCCTACTTAACTGGTAAAATCTAAACAAAATCTTAGGAAATGTAAATTTCTACAGACGATATGTAGAGCGATACACCAATTTGACATAACTTTTTGCTGATTTAAAAAATAATATAGAATTTATTTGGACAAAAGAACAAGTGGCATTTGAAAAGTTAAAAGTTGTTCTGGCAAAGAAACCAGTAATAAAAATATTGAGAAAGAAGCGTTGGCCATAATATGAACGACGAATAGAGCTCGTCAGTTTCTGATTGGAAAGAAATTCTTTCTAAGATCTGGCCATAGACCTTTAGAATTCATCTTTAATCATCTGAAGGAACTTCCAAAGATAACGTCCTCTAGAATTTTAAGATGGGCCATAATGTTAATGGCGTTTGACTTTGATATTGAGTTGAGTGCATACTACTTCCCGCGAATAGGTAACACTACACAGCACACACACAAAAAAAAACAACTATGCAAATATTGCAAGAAAAAGACGAGCGCTACTCTGAATAAAATTTGTCTCTGAAGAAAGATTGTGCCAATTTTTGCGAACAAAGAAACAATTTCAACTGACCTTTCCAAAATCAAAATGGCATCGTTTTGCTTGTTTTCCAAATTGCCACTTGCATTGAGTATCACTGTCATATAGCTGCCCTGGAAGTTTCTCAGGAAATTTAAGTCGGGGTCCCTCTGGAGGAAAATCATCCAGGCATTGGGACTGCGGAGTTCTGTGGAATAAAAAATAAAAAAAAATAGATAAAAATTAAGTAAACGAGGCCAAAAGCTGCTAGAATTGTTGGATTTTGTTCTTAATTCCTACCTTGACCTATGACCTTG